GAGGCTTTTCCGGCGGCGACGACGACGATCTGTCGTTTGTGGTGCTGCTGTCTGGCACCCAACCCGCTCAAGTCAGTACTTATCTGTTTCTTGTGTTATGTTTGGCTCTTATACTTTTGGGTATTATTTATATATATATATATATATATATATATATTATTAAAAGTGAATGTTTGGGATAGAACATGTATGCGATCTGCGTGCTGCCGTCGCAACGACCGGTGCGATGCTACTGCCTCGTCAGCGTCCATCCGTTTTTCAGCTTGTTTGTCAAACTGTTACGGGGGATCGTGGGCATGTGCCACAACCACACGCCTCAAGCTGGTACAATCAACCTATGAAATGAATATATATATATATATTTCGTGGTGAAGGATATATTTGCTCCTTTCGAATACATTCACATATATATTTATTTATTCACGATCGCGTAACGTGTGTGTACTGATTGACATATGTACCTATCTAAACCTAGTCCAAGTGATCTTTGACGATGCCCTCCGCCGACTCCACGGCACGCCGGTGCCGCCCATGGGCGGGTGGTGCAGCTTCCGACTTGACCCACAGCACCCCCTGCTCACGTTCCACCGCCCGCACACGTCCACAACCCGCCACGAAGCGCGCCAGTTCATCCTCGAGTATACATCTCCGCGTCTGTTTTCCAAAGTCAGTTTGGACCACCTGCTCGTGCTCCTCGGATGTCTCTGCTGCGAAGTCAAGGTGCTCCTGAAGTCGTCCGACCCGTCCCTTCTCACGTCGTGTGTGCTTGCGGTGCGGGCGTTGCTGGATCCGTTTGAATGGGTATTGTGAATGGGGTTCTTTTAAAAAATATATATGGGGATATGTATGTATTGTAGGCCGGCGTGGTGGTGACGCTGTTGCCGCCGTCGTTGGGAGAAATCCTCGAAGCGCCCGTGCCGTTCCTCGTTGGCCAAGTCACTTCAAAGCAGCATTCTTGTCATCATTCGACCCGATCTTCAGTTCCGTCACTCGTGCAACTCGACATTGACACGAACACGTTGATCATGGACGACCAAGAGATGGAGGTACTGCATGAACTCAAGCTTCCCCGAAGCGATTCGCTCCAGTTCCAGCTGCAGTCGTACGCGTCGACGTGTTTTGGCAGCGACCTGTCCCCCCAAAGCCTCGAGCGGCACCACGTCGAGGCCTGCGAACACATGAGCGCGTGCATTCAGTCGCACTTGGCATCGCTCTTGGACCCGTCCCAGCACCAGCACGACGCACCCTTTCTCCATCGATTCCACTCGACCCAAATGTACAGCATCGCGTCGTCCGAGTGCAATTTGAACGAATTGGAGGACGTGTCTGGTGGAGCAGGGAGCGATTTAGAAGGGGAGTCGACGTCGTATGAGCCGACCGCGTAATAACAAACATCATACTAAACGAAACCATCTCAAGGCCTGGACCGTTGGTTATGTGATTACAACAGTACAAGCCAATAAAAGTACTGTAAATTAGCTGCCGAGATCCGATCTCTGCATGTACGCTTCTTATGGAAGTACTACATGTATTAATAGTAATGCTATTGTTCTAGTAAACGTAAGTATACCGCGACGAGATTTGGATATGTAATAATCACGCATCGCTGCATAATGCGTTAGAGCATCTCCACCGCGCCCAGTAAATTGGCCAATCAGTAAATCTGTGTGCTGATTTACTGAAAATTTACTGAAATATTTTCGCACCAAAGGCTGAGTTCGAAGTACCAAACTTAGGTTCAGTACTTTGCTGACCAGCAAATACTTGGAGTATTTCAGTAAAAGTCACACAGATTAGACTAGTTTGTATACCACACAAATGTCTTGTTATTAGATTAATTCGGCGCAAAACCTCGACTCGGAATTTTAGTGAAAACTCTGAGTGAAATGGTCATAATTCAGGGCCCTGGGTTCTGAAACTCAGTTTCAGTGCCGAATTCAGTGTTGGGGTGGGGGTAAATTCAGGGTCAAAATATCATCGACACTGAGTAATACTCCATTTGTCACGTTAGGGCGTGCGCCGGAGCCATGACACGAGGCCGACGGGTATCGATAGTCGAAGGCTTGGATTTGCTCACGATGGACCGCCTCCTCACCGCTCGCTTGCTCTACTCCGCTCCACTTGCATGCCAACTGTGTGCCGTCTTCTTTCATGTGTCTCCTAAGAAATGCTGTCGGCTCTGTGGGACCTTCGTGTGCCTCGACTGCGCCGAGAAGCTTCTCGTGCACGGCCAGCGCTGGACGCGAGGAGGGTTGCGCTCGAATCCCCACCATCCTCTCATAGCGACAGTCTGTCTCGCGTGCTTCCATCGCACATTCGCAGCCCACGTGATTGGCTACGTTGAATCCCCCCCTGACCACCGACCCTTCATGCAACCACCGCGCCTACCGCCATCAATTCGCCGGCGAGGCAGCCCGCAGATAGAAGATGACATTCCAAGCAGCAACAGCAGCCACCCCCTACCACCCCAAGCGCCCCTAGTGCCTCTGCAACGTCGAGTGTGCACGCCAGTGTACGGTCAACCCGGGAAGGCAGCATGCGGGGTGTCACGACCATTCAGAGTTCACTTGGGACCGGTCGTTGAGTGCGCTGATGTTAATGGATCATCCGTATAATATCAACCGGATATCTTGTGTGATTGGAAAACGTTAAGCCAATCCGATGCGACGATGGTACGGCCAACCATCTTCAATTTGACAAGCGCGTAGCATGGTGGTGGTGAAAGGCAAGGACAAGCGGCGCGGAAATGAGTCGGACAATTTGGAGGTGATTTCGCACACCAAGGGCTTGCGGACGTTGGGCGGCCCGTCGTCGGGTCGGTTTGCAGCTGACATGCGCGTTCGAGTCGGTGGCTATGGTCGGCCCGATCAGACGTGGGGCGTGGACCATCCCTGGCACAAGACATCTGACGTCGATTTACATCAGGTGATAAGTGCAAAGGACCGCATGGAGGACGGTGCACTTGTGGAACAGAAGCCTCAGGGTCATGGTTTGAGTCGCGCTGCGCTCAAGCGAAAGAAAAAGCAGCAAAAACACGGCAAGGCCGAGCCAGCTCCAGTTGTCGAGGCCGTTGTAGCGCCACCGTCCACAAAACCGTCCAAAGAAGCAGCAGAGACCAAGTCATCTGTCACAGCCAATTCGTCGAAACTGTCTCTGTTTGACGACAGCGACAACGACGACAACGCACCAGACGACGACACACCGGCACCCGCAGCCAAGAAACCAAAGGTGGTGGCCAAGCCATCCGACACCAAACCAGCAAAAGCTGCGAAGAAACTCCCTCAAAAGTCTAAACGAGAGCTCCAGAAACAACAGCGTGACAAGGAGGCTGCCGAGCGCGACCTGGCCTTGCTGGTCGAAGAGAAGCCCGTGCTACTCGTCCTCCCGCTCGCCGAGCGCGAGGCGCTGGTGGCTCAGTACGATGCCGCCCTGGGTAGCGAAATCAAATCCTCGAGCGGGCTCATCTTGCGGGACACACAGCTGGGCCGTGGCCAGCTGCCCCAGGCAGGCCAAATGCTGACAGTCCGGTACAAAGGATCGCTGGGGCAAGGCGGTACCGTGTTTGGCAAAGGTAAAGTGCATAGTCCTCTCTCTCTATATATATATATATATATTAGCCTTTTATCCAAAATTTGGACTTTTGTGCTGATTCACCAAATCCATGGATCGATTCTTTGTACTGACTTTTGTATATAAAGTTCGTACACTTGTTCGAAGTTGCAATTTATCCAAGAGTGGATTTGATTGGCTACTTGATCATTGATCTGGGTTTTCATTGGTTGTATATCGATTGTCTCCCGATTTGGTGATTCTGCTCATTCGATTGAGCACGCCACTCCAATGTTGAACCGACTTGACAATATATATATACAACAACCTCTCATGGATTGTGTATATATATATCTAGGGATGCTCAGTGTCAAGTTTGGAGAAGGCGCCATCATTTCCGGATGGGAAGAAGGCTTGGCGACGATGCGGCCGTCGGGGAAGCGGATGCTCACCATTCCCCCCGACCTGGCGTACGGAGCATCGGGCAAAGGGGAAAAAATCCCACCACACAGCACGCTCTTCTTTGACGTGGAGCTCGTGCGAATTGGCACGCGGCAACGCGACGCTGTTGGAGAAGACGACATTCCCCTGCCCAAAGCGTTTGTGCGTGCCCGGATCAAGGAAAAATCCTCGTCCGACTCGAAACACCAATCCCACGACACTGACAACACTACCAACCACAAAAGTGGGAAAAATCCTTCCAGCGACAAAAAAGCCGTTAAGTCGTTCAGGGACAAAAAGGGGAAAAAACCCTCCCAGCCAAAAGCATCCAGTGGGGACAAGAAGCGGGAGTAGTATTGTGAAATTCGCGATAAACGTCCAAAATTCGCCTGGTTTGTCGAATCAATATGATTGGTTGAATATACTTGTTTTCCTTGTAAGAGCCAATTAAAGCCACTCAAAAATTGGATTTTCGCCAATAGCGTTGATGATTCCATTCGGCGACTGGAAATCCACAATACTACACCATTTTTCGTTTAAGTTCAGGTTATTTCCGGTATATTTCGTCCGACGCGCAACTGATTGCATCATGTTCGTTGAACATTCGATATATTTCGTCCAGACCCTACCAAGTATCCACCACTTACCGATTTACTTGATTTGCTTCGCAAATCGAAATAGATACTTCGTAGAACATCATTTGAAATATATTGAACAACATGTAAAATTTCGGGGGTGACATATACCGGACATTAGTCGAAATATACTGCAACGATATAAGGTCTAGACGAAATATATCGAATGTTCGGCGAACATACAGCCAAAAATGAGAGAACACTTACATTTTTTGTGCTATCTCATCAACCAATGGGAGTTAAGCGATGCTGTTTGGATATGATGTGTGGACGAATATGGCGTGAATCAGCTGTGCGTTGGATGAAATAGACCGGAAATAACCTGAACTTAAACGAAAAATGGTGTAGTAGTTCCAAGGGTATTATTTTGTTTCGCATCGAATTCAATTCATTTTATTATCGTCAACAGCAACTGTAATATTGGTTCTCCCACAAATTGTCGCAAATGTTGGCTGCATTCCTGTCGATTTTCCTATGGGAAATAAATACATGAGCCAAATGTGGGAATTATCCCATGCAAAGTGGACCACTTGCCCCACTGGTTTCCAATCCGTCGGAGTCCACTCGTGTCGGTTCATGCCCCTACAGCCGGCGCGAAAACAGCAAAACCCGCCTACATTGCGCACCAATCCCTGCACAACGAATGATGATCACGTCATCCCTGATCACGTCATAGCATCGTTTGAGAGTGTATGTATGTACATTGCTGAAGGGCAAATCGCATTCCCGGGTGCCCCGCAAGTACGGCAGCTTGTCTGGGCCTTTGCCCAACTCTCGCGTCGTGGAATTGGTCAGCATGATAAACGCTACACGAATACAGTCGTCCATTTGATATGCAGGTTTGTATGCGACAAATCCAGAGTTTTTATTCGTGTGACGACGTACTGTGAAACCCACACAGCGAATACGCCATGGCCGCAAACGTCTGTACATAACCCACCACCATATGTTTGTTGGATAGACAGTCCATGAAATGACGTTATCACACTGAAAAAAAAAGTGCAACGTGATGACGTGATCGGGTCGTACGTAGAAAAACAGCGCCGCGACCAACGCGATGCTGTTGAGCTGGATCCACGCTTGGACACTTGTCGCTGCGTGAAACCCAGAATGCACCTACAGCACAAAAACAAACTCACCACAGGAACACGTTGTCACAGCCAACACACCTCACCACAGGATGATCACGCACATTAAACGTTGTCACAACAAACAACTCACCACTCCCAAGCACGCGTACACTTCGACGGTCGTGAGAGCCAGGAACCACCAAAACCGACAGTGATTCCTTTCGCCCACACATGAACCAATGAAAAAGCAATGGTGGTCAAATGTCGCGACGCAGCGGTTGCAAAACCCGCAATGATATGCGCGGAGCGGCTACGCATGAAGGATGACTTGGACGGGCTAGCCTCGCTCGCGACGTACCGGTTGTAGCTGGCATACGGTGCAGAAGTCCATGGTAGGTGCAGGACTAAGCTCAACACTTGCATCCGCATTCTCGCTCGTGGCATTGTTGTTGAGCTCCAAGGCTGCTTCCATCGCGGCGATTTTCGACTTTCGGTAGTCGATTTCCCGTGCTTTGGACGTGCCCCTTAAGTCCAGCTCGTCGTCGTCGACGCCGAGAAGGGTATCGCTTTCCATGGAAGTTTGCACCATAGCTATTGACGCCATGAATGAATGATGGACATTGGCCCCATGCAAAGGTACTGCACCTTCGGTAACGTAGCCCGGGTCACTGCCTTGCACAGCGTAATACGCCAACGTGGCTGCACCAACAATGACTAGCAAAATTTGGATCTCGGGCCAATTCCACTCCCACGTCTTGTCGCGATGGGTCACGCGGAGCGACGAGCCCGGGATCTCGAGGAGCAAGCAGAATAGCAACGCTTTCACTGCTGGGCAACCTACACGATACGCCCATTTCTACAGCGACACTACCATCAGACAACTATGTTGTCTACGAAGGCCGTACATAGTTCTTCGTCGTCGTGGACTTGGTTGGCATCACCTCGTCCGACATCATGCGCCGAAATTCTTTGGAATCACCTTCAGAAACGCCTGGTTACCCGTATCCGGATAATGCATTGAGAATGTAAAGTGGGATACAGTATACAGTACATACAGTACTAGTACTAAGCTAGTACTACGTAGTATGTCTTGTACTTCGAAGTATTCTACTTGCAAGTGAACTACTAGTACCCGTGGTACGCACTGTGCCCTGTTCAATAACCCTTTCATGTCGTGAAGGATGGCCATACTACTCCGGAGTACGTGGCACGATGTGGGAGAGGTACGATGGATGCATGTTGTCCTTTATTCCGGTATCCAATCAAACGTGGCAGTTGTTTCCTCACGAGGATTTGATTGGTGGGTTGCCATCGCACCAATCACAGGCCTCAAAAGCGCAATCCTCCATTGAGTTTTCTCGGCGCTTCAGCATTGACATCATGGTGGCACAGAGGCAGCCTCCGTTGGTGCAGACGCTGCTCCTGGACAACTATGACTCGTACACGTACAACCTGTACCAGATGCTGTCCCAAGTGAACGGTCTGGAGCCCATTGTGTACACGAACGACGCGTTCCAGGGCAACTGGGACGTCGCGTACGCTGCATTCTTGGAGCACGTCGCTCAAGTGCAAGCGGCGCATCGTCACGCGGATGTTCACGTGAACATCGTGCTGTCGCCTGGACCAGGTACGCCCACCAAGGTAGAAGACTTTGGCTTGTGCGCCGCCGCCATCTTGAAGTCTCCGCATGTCCCGATCCTCGGGGTGTGCTTGGGCCATCAAGGCATGGCACATCTGTACGGCGGCAACGTCGAACGCGCGCCGACTGTCATGCACGGCCGCACCAGCCGCATCCAGCAGAATAGCAACTCAAGCAACGACCCGTTCTTCTTTGGCATCCTTCCAACGTTTGAAGTCGTGCGATACCATTCGCTGCTCGCAACGTCGTTGCCCGTGGCCACGCTCGAGATTTTGGCGTCGACGTCCGAAGACGACCTTGTGATGGCATTCAAGCACCGAACTTTCCCCCATTACGGTGTTCAATTCCACCCAGAATCCGTCTGCAGTGAGTTCGGGTACCAGTTGCTGCAGAACTTTCGAGACATTTCTAGTGGCGACGCGTGCCAGCCATGCTCCCTCCACCACGCCCCTTCGTCGGCCCTCATGCAGTCCGCCAAACAGTCGGCCGTCAAAGAGCCAGCAACTACCTCAGCAACTGCATCGCCGCTAGTCGACACGTACCACGTGCTTGTGACGTCTGTAGAAAACGTTGCTGTGGACACTTCGATCGTGTTTGAGAAGCTGTATGGCCAATCAAGCCATTCATATTGGCTGGACAGTAGCAACAATACCCGGTTCTCGTTCATGGGAGATACCGCTGGCCCTTTGGCGAAACACGTGGCGTACGACAAATGGACCAACACTGTGACCATAGACTCCACCACCACGTCAAGCCTGACGATCTTGGAGTTTATCCGGATGGAATTGGCCAGTATGCACGTCCACGACGACTCGCCGCACTTGGCGTCACTCCCGTTTGACTTTCGAGGCGGGTTTGTCGGGTACTTTGGCTACGAAGTATTAGGTGTGGACCGTCGCTCCGACTTGGCCGTCCATCCACCAGCAGACCTAGCCGTCCCAGACGCGTCTTTTGTGTTTGCCGACCGCGTGGTGGTGTATGACGCTCTTGACCAGCACTGGTACCTCCTCGTGGTAACTACTGATCAATATATGGACGCTGGTCGAAGCTGGATGGCTACGACGGCAGCTACCTTGCAAGCCATGACGCCAATCCAACCACCAAGGCATAAAATGGAATCGTTTGAGAACCCGATCGTATTCCAGCCCAGTCGTAGTCGTGCCACGTACGAAGCCAACATTGCCACGGTGCTGACTGAGATTCAAGCTGGAGAAACGTACGAAGTGTGTCTGACCAACCACCTGATTGCAAACGTCAGCATCACGCAACCCCTAGCCTTTTACAACACGCTGCGAACGCTCAACCCAGCGCCGTTTGCCGGGTACATTTCGACCCCGTCGTTTAGCATTTGTAGCTCGTCCCCCGAACGCTTCATCGCAGTTAACAAGCACAACCACATCGAGTCCAAACCCATCAAAGGCACGCGAAAGCGCTGCCAAGACACAGACCAAGATGCCGCCATCGCCGCCGAACTCGCAACCTGCGTGAAAGACCGCGCCGAGAACATGATGATCACTGACCTCGTGCGCAACGACTTTGGCCACGTGTGCACCGTCGGCAGCATCCACGTGCCAAAGCTCATGCAAGTCGAATCGTTTGCGACGGTCCACCAGCTGGTCACAACTGTCCGGGGACAGCTCCGCCCCGCCGCCAACGTTGTGGACGCGATCGCCGCGACCTTCCCGGGAGGTTCCATGACGGGCGCCCCCAAGAAGCGCACGATGGAGCTGATCCGCCGTGTGGAGCAGCACCCGCGGGGCGTCTACTCGGGGGCGATGGGGTACCTGTCGCTGAATGGCGCGGCGGACCTGAACATTGTCATCCGGACGGCGGTGGTGACCCCCCACCACGTCACGATCGGGTCGGGCGGCGCCATCGTCGCGCTATCCGACACGGACGATGAGTATGACGAAATGCTGCTCAAGACACAGGCGCTGCGGACTGCCTTGGCGGCGTACACCAATCAACCTGTGACCGTCGATGTCACCCGTTCGTTTTATGGGTTGTAAACAGTCACGAAACGAGACATTTTAACTATGTGCAATCTCAGTACATTGTTAAAGGGGGTGTCACCCCCCCCCCTATCAGTTTGATACTCCGAAGACCCCCCCCCTGTGCGTAGAAGTAGTGGGATAGGTCGTTGGACATTACTGTACTAGTACCAGTATGTGCCAGGGGGCCTCGCTATGACATGACGTGCCCCCTAATCACATGCACTGCACACATTTGTAGGTGCAGCGAACGTTGCCATTTGAATCTAACGTTACTGTAGTTATATGCCAAACTAGTACTCTCGTAACGTTAACATTCATAATAGAAAAGCCCCACAAACTCCAGACAGTAAGTAAGTCGAACCTAACCACACGAGATGGTAGCGGTGTGGTTGGCCAAAGGACTAGCCAATTACAATCAATGCATTAATCTGTCAACGCAGAATGGGCCGAAGCCGTGGGGAAGTTTCCCCCTCATATCACGTTTTGGAGCTTGAAGTGGTGTGACCTTGCCCATTTAGAAACGAAGCTCAACCCATTTGTGATGTTTTGGGGGTAAAACCCCTACGCAATCTGCCACGACAGATGGTACATCGCACAAAGTCGAATCTGATATGAGGGATTTTCCTCGTTTCTCTAGTATTTTTAGTGTTTTTGGATTGAATTCGTACGCCTTGACGTTACAGGATTTTATAAAGTAAACTTGCTGGTGCAATAGTACCAGAGTATTCAACACTCCCGATGGAACGCACTATTGTCAACATACTAGTATCAGGGTTTCACTATAAATAGCATTATACTAGGTACTACACGAAACTTACATACCGTGGTACAACTGCTGTTAGTACATTTCTAGCAGGTAGTACAATTCATAGTAGTACTACGATATCAGTTTTCATGTTTACATCGATAAGACCAAGCAGAAGAAGGTTGAATGCATACCTCGTAGACGGTGTGAACCACTCGTAGCAGATCGGGTGGGGCTTTTTCATACTAGTAAATAGTAACGTTTGCATCCACCATGCAACGTCACTGGTACATAAAAAAAATGCTAGTATTACTAGTGTGTCGACACTGCTGGGCCATTTTGGTGGGTGTTGCTGGTACGACTTTCACTTACAATTAGCAATATTGATTACCTTTAAACCCTGGTCGCGGACCCGTCTACAGTACATCGGCTGTTGTTAGCCCCTTTTGTTCTGGTTCATCCTCGTCAACGATCTGTACCTTTCACACCCATTGACAGGCTTGGACTTCATTGTTCAATTCCCAATCAATCACCAACATGTTGTCAGTGGTGGTGTCTTTGATTTCGATCGTCGCTGGCGCCTCATTAGTCATCGCGGACGTCCACAGTGACAACATCAAGTTCCCCGATCTGAACGACGACATCCACGTCGACCGCAAAGCGCCATCCGCTGCTGCGTGGCTCCCCCGCCCCAACCAATCGCTGGACGTGCACTTCCCCGTGGACTCGAAGATCATCGACACTTCGGCTGCTCCTTGTGTGGTCACCCTCGTCAAGAACCACACGTACGCGCACTCGTACAACAAGCCGTACAAGGGGGAGTTTTCCCCCCCTTCCTGCTACGACGACCCGGACTATTCCCTCGTGTACCTCCGGTACAAGGCCAATGTGGACCCTGGTCGGCAGTTTGACCGCCTCGCCGCCGTCTGGGTCGGCAACCACCCCGTCCTCCGCACGACAACGCAGGAACCCAACCGAGTGCTTGGCCCCCACTGGGAAATCTTTCGGGAAATTTCCCAATACCGAGCGCTGTTTGGGAAGAACGGCAATGTCACAGCGTCCCTTGACAACGTGGTCAACGACGTGTACACGAGCAGCTTTTATGTGACGATCACGGTCGAGTTCTACAAGAAGGACCCGTCTCAGCACGTCGTCCAGCGCGTGCCGTACGCTCCCGACCAGATCGTTCCGATCTTCAAATCCAACGACACCTATCCCTGGTTCAACGTCCAGCCCAACACCCTCGGCAAGAACTTCAACCTCGTGACCTTCCCCAAGAACCTCGATGGGTTGTACCTGGAGCTGTTTACATCCCACCACGGATGCGACGAGTTCCACTATACCAACCCTCCCAACGAGCTCAAGGCCACCCTCAACGCAGACTGCGCCGGCGGATCCTTCCGCGAAGTGCAGATCCTCTTGGATAACGAGATTGTCGGCGCGGTGTGGCCGTTCCCGCTCATTTACACGGGCGGCATGAGTCCTGCCCTGTGGCGCCCCATCGTGTCCATAGGTGGCTTCGAAGCCCCCACGTACATCATCGACCTGACGCCATACGTGGCCAAGGTTCTGGACGGCAAGCCGCACAACGTGAGCTTCGCCGTCGGCCACGGCTTGGCGTACTGGCCCACCAACGCCAACCTACTCGTGTACCAGGACCATTACGTCGAAGAGACGGTGGCTACGCTGGACCGTAAAGTGTTTGCGCGGAACGTCGTGCCCAAGGTAACCTCGAAAGGTTCTGGCGGCAACCAGACCATCCACACGACCGCCACCCGTCAAGTGAACGTCAAGTCGACCATTACCAACTCGCAGGGCATCCGCAAGTACAACATCAAGCAAAAGTTCAACTACGTCAACCACCAAGTGTACTCGAGCGACGTCCAGACGTTTAAGCAGCGCAGCACGACCCACACCACGACCACTATCAAGTTTCAAGATGGCACGAAAACAACCCAGTACTACACGGAGGACTACCCGCTCTACGGCAAACTCGAGTACAAACCCTACACATACGGCAAGTCGGCCCGTGATGGGATTCTATCCACAGTCGAAGAGGTGGACATCCCGCCGTTTAGATCGCCGATCATTCAGTTTGAACAAGAAGACACAAACCATCTGAGATCGTCGATCCAAGCCAACTTCTACAAGTACAACGTGACCATCCAACACGACCTCCGCCAGAAACTCAAAATCCACGGCAACAAGGACGACTTCCGCGTTGGAGTCGAAGAGTTTGAGCTCTCGATCGCCCAAACGGCCAAGTCCCAGGTCGACTCGCGCATTGGCTTCAACGCGACCAACCAAGTGGCAGTCGCCGCGTCCAACTGGACTGGATGCTACTCGCACGACGTCCACAGCAACACTGGCAACTACACCAAATATGTTGAAGCCAAAAAGTGCCCCCGCGTCAAGCTGTACAATGACGACGATGACGACGACGATGACGACGACGATGACGATGACGACGATGACGACAACTAAAAAGCAACAAGATTGCATTACTACTGTATTGTGGCGTACTAGGTGGTGTAACTACTATTAATAGTAGTAGTTTCTAAAAGAAGTAACTTGGGTGTTGCACTCGATATATAGTATATAACGTTAACGTTACTTTAACGTTTTTTGGTATAGTGTTGGAAGTACAGTACTACCTCCAGACGGAAATAGAAGTCCCTTTTGGTGAAAATTAATAAAATTGGTGATTTGTTTGATGGTGTTATCTGTTTTTGCCCTAAGTATGCTTGTTGTAAAGGTCTTTGTATGATCCGTATCCCTGTGGAATATAATACCTTAAAGATGAATACCCACCCTAATGGATAAGGGGGTTCTACTCTATGAATGTTTGTGGTTTGCATGCATTCTACCTGCATGAACAAATAGTCAGCAACAATTTAAACTATGTTTTGTACAGAATATAAATTAATGCAGGTCTTTAATATAATCAGTATAAAATCGTGACTCGTATCCGGATACATATAAAGAGACGCTATAAAGTAATTAATTCCGGTTAATTCTGAATAAACCTCTAAGAATGAAAAGGGACTTCTATTTCCGTCTGGAGGTAGTATTACAGTATTAATAGTGGCAATGAATGTTGGAAGTACAGTATTACAGTATTAATAGTGGCAATGAATGTTCAGAAAGGTTTTGCAACTCATCTTTATCATATTATCTCAGCCACTTCTGACAAAACCGGAAGTGTACCTCGCAAACTTTATTAATGATACTGTGAAAACGAATGACAAGGTGGATAAATTGCAAAACACAATAATAATACTTCATCATTATCATTACCCTCAACGATACCTTAAAAGCACCAGATAAGTACTAGTATAGAAACATTCCTCTGCAGCTGGCGTTTGGTGCCAGTTGCCGAGGCGTGCTACTTTAGGTGCAAGCCACTCCTTGCCTTCGTAGCTACGCCTTTCCGAACGTCCAACAGATAGTAGAATAACTGAACTAACACAACATGAATTTCAATCAATTCAATGCTTCGTACGCCTCTGTCGTCCCTACTAGCCCCAACGCTTCAACGACGAATGACCCATGGGACGACTTCACAATCACCTTGCCGATTATCCATGAAGTCCACGAATTTGGCTCCATCTCGTCAACGGATAAGGAAAAATTGTTATCACAGAAATCGTCGATATAAAATCCCTTGATTTTATTGTGCTTTCGAGTGAAATTTTGTGTTGTGGCGTGGATTCTCGTTGGAATTTGAATCGATTTGATTGGCCACCTCAGATGAGCTCAAAATTACTAGCCAATCAAAACCCTCTCAATGAAATTCAACCAATCAGATCGATTGTGGGTCGGGTTTGGTCCCCTCCCCAAATTTGTATCAAATCGACAATACTTCGAAGTACTTTGCTTTCAATTTTTATGGAAAAAGAAAAAGAGAAGTCATCTCCGAAATCTCCCTAATGCTGACCATTCCGTCACGTGAATTTAAAGCCGAAACGGTATAGAAGCCGTTGGTAACAGTCATTCAAGATTGGGTGTGAAGTACCCTAGTCGACACTGGCCACATTGGGTTGGATCTGAGGTTGTGTCGCGTGTTAAACTCGGTGGAGATACGTTCACAACAGAAATAAAACGCTATAAAACAATACCTTTGTGTAAATTATATGAAACCTGCTGGAACCGCTTACCCTAAACACAGAATTTCAATGCTCCAAGGCATATGTACTTCAAGATGAAAAATATTATCCTAAATTGGTTATCCAAATATGCTTAGAAAGTAACAAATTTACCTGTGAAATTCATCGCCTAAACTGATAATTCGATTATGAAGTCAAAGCGGCGCGTCTTGTCTATTGGAATCACTTGTCAAACTCAAATATCGTAACGGACTCAAAAGTTATGTCCATTCTACTCCGACGCCTCCAATAAAGTTAACTGGTTTTTTACATTACTGTAGTTAGGGCAACCCTCAAATTACTTCCATATTATGCTCTCGACGTGTTAACAACACAAAGCGAGCACAGGTTGGCTCCCATCCGTGTGTACAACTTCGACATACACTAATATGACTGGATCGGATGCCGAATCCTACTTTGAAGTACTACATAACGTACTATTAATAGTAAACTACAACGCATACACCGTACTGTGGTATCAAAACCTCTCTATTCATAACACTTGTAAAACACATCAACTTGTTCGAGTCTATTCATAGAACTGACCCCTTTTTGAACGTGGGGGTGGTGTTACGATGCCGGTGCTGTCACCCGACAGATTTGGCGCCGCGAGTATCCCCAGCGCCAGAAGCTCAGACCGTTCCAAGGCGAAGCGACGGGCGTCGGCCACAAATGCTAGTGGAAGCCACAAGCAGAATCGGCATGTAGGCCCGTGGGCAAAGTTACCCGAGCCAGTTCCCGAGGAAGAGTCGAAGGATGCGTCGGTTCCATTTCGTACGACGTTTCAATTGATGCACTTGATTCATTAATGCTGTGATGCTGCGTCGTCCTAGAGTGGCACCGACGACGTCTCGAGCCGTCGAAAGCTGTGAGACCAGCGTCGAACCTGCCCACGTCGGCACGAAGGAGGACCCTGCCAGAAGAAGAAGACATGCACGAGATCATCCAAGCGTACACGAAAATGGCCTTGGAACGCACCGACTGCATCCAGGAACTGGCCCAGAAGCGCGTGTTGCCACACTCCAAGAAGAGACCGCCGTCCGCCCAGCAACGGGTTTACATGCCGACGAGTCGCATTCGACGCGCGGTGCAATCGGCTGGTGTGCAACGCACTGTGCCAGCGCAGCCATCCTTCGTGCGCATTCGGGTATTCAGCACCGTGCCCACTGCAACAACAGCAGCAGCAACACCACCCAACCATGCCCTTGTCGCCCCTGTCATCAACAGTGCCGCCACGACGACGACTCGGCACGCCACTCCCGCACGAATGCTGCCACCGCGATGCATGTCTGCCAAACCCAGACGAAGGTCTGAAGTGACCGCTCCGCGACCGCAAAGCGCACACCCTCGATCCAGTGTCCCAGCGGTGATCAATCGCCCTACCGTTGAAGTGGCCGAGAATGGCAAGATGAAGCTAACGGTGCACATGACTCATATCCGCATGGAGAACAACGATGGCGACGATGATGCTGCCGACGAGGAGGTAGAACGCGACGATTGATGATTGTCACGCCATTTATTAATATGTTAACGTTATGTAAATATTTTAAGTATTTGTTCAGTTAAGTACGCATTCGACAGAAAAAATGTGAGAATAAAATAAATTGGGGCGGCGAACTATGCCCATAGTAGTCAATTTAAAACAATGTGATCAGAATATTAAAAGTACAATCAATAGCTCGAACGAATTCGCACGTTAAACGTGTTAAGTACGAGCTTGAGATCCAAACTTAATCGGAATTATGGTGTCCCGGCCCCAGAAACCATCGACATGAGTGGCAGCGTGGGCGGCGCGACGATGGCGTTGGGAGACGTGGACGTCGCAACGTTGGATGCGTGGTGCGAGAAGCTTCTCACATGCCAACCACTCAGTGAGCCCGAGGTCGTGCGGCTGTGCGCCCGCGCGAAGGAAGTGCTGCGGAACGAGTCCAACGTCCAGCCGGTGCGGTGTCCCGTGACCGTGTGCGGAGACGTGCACGGCCAATTTCACGACCTCATGGAGCTGTTTCGCATCGGGGGGCATGCGCCCGATACCAACTACCTGTTCATGGGCGACTACGTGGACCGAGGGTACTACTCCGTGGAGACCGTGACGTTGCTTGTGGCGCTAAAGGTGCGGTACAAGGACCGCGTGTTCATCCTCCGAGGGAACCACGAAAGTCGGCAGATCACACAAGTGTACGGGTTCTACGACGAATGTCTGCGCAAGTATGGCACGCCGAATGTATGGCGTCAGTTCACCGAGGTGTTTGACTACTTGCCGCTCACGGCCGTGGTCGAGAACCAGGTACGTGTACATACATCCCCACGCTCTCCCCCTCCTCCTCCATCATCCTCCTGATACATGCTCACCGTGTCTTTTGCAGATCTTCTGTCTTCATGGAGGGCTGTCCCCTTCCATCGACACGTTGGACCACATCCGCGCACTGGACCGCGTCCAAGAAGTGCCGCACGAAGGTCCGATGTGCGATCTCTTGTGGAGCGACCCCGACGACCGCTCCGGATGGGGCATCTCCCCTCGCGGTGCCGGGTACACGTTTGGCCAAGACATTTCCGACCAGTTCAACCACGCGAACGGCCTCACGTTGGTCTCCCGCGCCCATCAGCTTGTCATGGAGGTCTTCCTGTCCATCTACCTCTCGATCGTATATTGATCATGAAGTGTGTAGGGGTACAACTGGTCGCATAAGATGAACGTTGTGACCATCTTTTCCGCGCCCAACTACTGCTATCGCTGCGGCAACGAAGCCGCCATCATGGAAATCGATGAGCAAATGAAGTATACATTGTACGTCCCATATGTCCATCTTCAACATATGTGACAGCGTCGTGCATGATGTAGCTTGCAATTCGATCCGGCGCCGCGCCGCGGGGAGCCCCATGTGAGTCGACGAACCCCCGACTATTTCTTATAGATACACACACAATACTACTATCATCCCCCATCGTCAAAGTACCAACCTGTTTCATTCGTGTATACCGTGTCACAGGGGTTTGAATCGTGAGGTGTGGACCGTGTCACATATTATTGTCACGACGACGGGATACTGTAATTGCGCACTTTTTTGCGCTCTTGGGCCATTTCCGCCCGCTTGGACTGGAGTTCCTTTAATTTGGACATGACAGATCGTTGGCTATCTGTCTCCCTACATACAGCCCATCAGCTATTTCCGATCTTATATCATATGACTACCGGTGCACGAGCGACGGCGCGCGCATCGGCCGTCCCCCAGGCAGGTCTTCCACCTTCTTTCCTGCCAACGCAAGCACTTCCTTGGCATGTTTGAGCTTGAGTCTGGCATCCGACATGGTAGTAGTCGGAGGTGACGAAGTACTAGTAGTGGTCGTCGTGTCCGTGAAGCTACTAGTTGCCCTTGCCGCCTCCACCTACAGACACACACAACCATCGTGTTACAGCATCTAACAAAGAGTAGTAGTAGTACTAGTACTAGTAGTATATACTAACTTGACGTTTCGCCGCTTGCAACGACATGACGACCGTATCGCAGGTTTGGTGTGGTGCTGCGATGGAGCTAGTGGGACTAGCCGCGTCTTCTCGCTTCAACCATCGTCGCAGTTCTTTTTTCAGGGCTTTGTTGTGTCCTCTGGCCTCATCCAGCGCATGAGTGAGCTCGGCCACCCGCCCTTCCTACAGTACCCTGTTTCAAACGATGTCACACATGGCCAATTACTGTATCTGTACCTGCTGCTTGAGTGCAAGCGAACTGTCCGTCCCGAGTTGCAACTTGCGGTTTTCAGCAGTGAGTTGATTGCTAAGCTCCATGAGCGCATTCCGTTCGGCTTTCAGCACGTCTACTTGGGCTAACGCGTCGGCCAGTTGCTTGCGCAGGTCAGCTATCACGCCCTCTTGATTGGTGGTGGTGCAATTGGCCGTTGTGTCGACAAAGGTGTTGTTGTTCGCAGTAGTAGTCTGGTTGGTTCTCGCCGCTAGTAGCTCCTTTTGCAACGTGTCGACTTGGACATGCAGGTCCTGGATCTGGCTTTCCAACTGCCCAATGGTCGTGGCTTGGACGTTGGCTTCTACACACAACAATACGAAATAGATAGAACCAGTACAGTAGTCGAAATAGCAATGTATTACGGGAACGTGGTGGTGGTGATGTTGGCGAAGGTAACGCCGCCGACTGCTTCATGAGCTCTTCCGTCATGGTTCGAATCATGCCTACATATGTATCATAGCTATATATATATATATATATATATATACAACTCGAACGGTTTGAATGGTACCTTTGAGTTTAGCGTTTTCCGCTGCAACGACGTGGTACTGGTGATGGTCGTTGCTGTGATCGTGTGGTGGTGGTGTTGCTGGAGAAGTTGCTGGGGATTGCATCGACAACAGTGCAGGCGGCAAACTCCCCGCGTCGCTCCACACGGGCGACACTTGCGACGGCACACTCGGCAGTGAAAATGCCTCGTTTGCTTTGACCAGGGCCTTTTGGGCGTACAATTCCCCACGTACTCGCGTCAATTCGGCTTCGGCATGCTTGAGCCGATCTTCGGCTGCCTACAATATATATATATATATATATATATATATATCGTCCAGTCGATTCGAAATTCGAGTGAGGTGATTCCAGTTAATCGAAGGAGCAGAATCACCAAATCGACAGACAATCGATATACGGCCAATCAAAACCCAGAACACTCACCAAGTAGCCAATCAAATTATCCACTCTTCGAAAATCAACAACGAATTCGTGTGTGACTTCAATTAGTGTGATACTGGACGAATTTTATATACAAAAGTCAGTACAAAGAATCGAATCGATACGTTTGGTGAATCAGCATAAAAGTCCAAAGTTTCGGTAAAAGGGCAATATATATATAACGTTATATATATATATATATCATCGCCCCAATATGTATAGCATACAATGTAGCCCAACCTGCTTCTCGGCCGACATGCGCTCTTTTGCCGCCGCCACTTCGCGCATGCGGACGTTGTGCCGCGCCGTCCACTCGTGCTCTGCTTCTACATGTGTCCAACTGTGAGATGACACCATCGAACGGGGAGGTCGGTCTTTTGTATGCTTGCCTTACCTTGCAGCTTGACTTCCAAACTCAAACTCGTGGTGTGGACGTGTCGTTTGAGCTCGTCGATGGTGTCGTGGGCCAGTTGAAGGTCCCGCCTTAACGTCGCTTCGGTCTCTTTGCCGTCTTGGATCAGCTGCACGGACGTTCGCGCCGACTCTCTGGACGTTTTCAGCTCCATTTCGACCTGCCACATGTCGTGCTTGAGTTGCTTGAGCATCGCATCCCGCTGGTTCAATGCATCCTCATGATCGCTAGTCAATCGGTCCATGTCTCGTTCCCGCTGCAGCAACTGGTCTTGGGCTTCCCACTACACACACATACAAGGTGAAACTACTACTAGTACTACTAGTACTACTAGTACTACCTTGGCTTGCTTGCATTCGGTTTGCACCTTTTCCAACGCTTCGTCGGCTACACGCAGCTTGGCCACGACCGCCTACGATACGTCCATATTGAGTTTCATCCTGTGATATATGATGAAATAGATGATAGATACCACACGTACTTGGATACGAGCTTCCATTTTCGCCGTGTGCGCGTTGAGCTCGTCCTCGCTGGTCTTTTCCGCGCGCTTCAAGTCGTCGTGAAACTGGGCTTTCTGGGCCAGAAACGCCTTCTCCACAGCATGCAGCGACTGCAGCAGGTCGGCCATCTTGGCCTCGTACTCGTCCAGAAGCGCCTGCTTGACGGCCTGCAGATCCATCGTTTCTTGCTCCAACTGGGCGATCTTGGCTTGGTTGAGAGCGCGGACGTCCGCGACCTCCCACTGCAGCCCCTTTTGCGCCTTGTCGCTGTCCGAGAGTTGCTCCGCTAGTTCGTCGACTTTGCGACGGAGTTCGTGGTTGCGTTCCTTGAGCGTGTCATTCTCTCGACCTATGGACTTGACCTTGAGCTCCAAATCCCGAGCCTTGCCGCCGACGTCGTCGTGGGCGGCTCGGAACTCTTGCTCCCGTTGGCGAAGGACCTACGACGCGTGTGATGTATGATCAAGCAACCTTTGGTTTTGCTCAGTACTTACGTCGTCGAACGTGACGGTGAGTTCGCGCCGGATGCTCTCGATGTCTTCGTCCTTCTCGCGTAGCTCGCGCTCGTACCGTCGCTTCATGGACTCGACCTCTTCCTTGGCCTTTCGCATATCCTCGTCGTAACTCCATCGCGTGGACTCCATCGCCCCGCGGACTTCCTTGAGCTTTTGCTGCATGTACATGTCTCCTTCACTCGCCTTTTGCTTTTCCATCTTGAGATCGCTCTGCACGTCCGCGAGTTGGATCTTGAGTTCGCTCACGTCGCTCTCTCTAAGCACCATCCACATGTGACGATGATGACTGACATGCGTGAGTGATGTACCGGTCTCGGACAACGATCTTGAGGGTGGCAAAGTTGCTGTCGTACATTGCGAGCTCTTCGTCTCGACCTTCCAACAACTACAGCGCATCATGATGACCTTGCGTCCGTGTGCATGCACTTCTACAAAGATGACGTATGTACCTTGAGGTTGTACTTGAAGTCTTCCTGGAGCTGGTAAAACTTCTGTTTGTACCCTTGCATCGCTTGCTCCTAGGACCAGCAGACCCATCATCGTCATCATTACACGATATCCTCCACTCGTACCTTCTCCTTCAGAAGGCCCTCCAGGGTGCGGATGCGGTACTCGTTGATGTCATGCAGTTCCTTCTCTTTCTCGAGAATGAGCGATCGTATGTTGTTCGTCTCGGGTGTCGGCGTGGCGGCATACTGCTGCATCCCCGCGCTTTTTCAAGATCCACGATCCGCATTCCTCCCTGGGTTTAGCAACCTTTATCCGGATGCCTCCTCTTCTAGCCTTGAATTCCCTTTGTTTAACGACTTTCGAATTGTTCGAAATTCTCCGCTGCCATCATTTTGCACTTTTCCGAGTCCCGTATCGATGTTGTTAAAATTTAAAGTCCTTGTACTTCTTCGCCGCGCCTTTCTCCTGCTTCTCGAGCTTCCGCTTGCGCTTGCCCTCCGTGTCGTCCGTGGCCATGCCGCTCGTGGACACGCTGTTGACTCCACTGGTGGACTGGACGCTATGCAGCCCTCCGTCCTCGGTCGGCTGCGACACGACATACGCGTGCGTGGACCCATAGATCGACGACGACCCCACTGCCGTCTACAACAACAGCTCGAGGTCAGTACCCAATCTTTACATGTTGCATCAGATCTCAACGATAGGGTCGCCAATACCTCTGTTTGCGCGAGCACAGTGTACAATTCCTTGGCCGGTCCAGACGACACGACCGGCGGCGGCGGCGGCGGCGGAACTTCCGCCTGTTGCTTTCGCAGGTCCAGCGTATCCCCCGCATCAGTCCGCCCTCCCCCTCGGACATCCTCATATTCATCCATGTCCATCGTCTCGTCGTCCTTGGTTTCTTCCTCGTCGTCTTCTTCTTCTTCCTCTTCTTCTTCGGCAACGGGTTCCAATTCGCCCCATCGCTCCTTGCTTACTTCGTCCTCCACCACCACCACCGCGCCAGCTCCCTTGCCAAACACATCGCCATACACAGGATTCCCATTCTCATCCACGGGCGGCTTGCCCCATCCCCCAGGATGGTACCCGAACGACGCGCCTTCCGGAATGGGGGCATTCAACCCTGGGATCTTCAAGTGCGGGTACGCCGGCGGCGGACCATACCGCTGGACATTCAGCAACCACGGCGGCGGCACCCCGTCCACCATCCCCAGCGCTCGCTTCAAGTCGTCACTGAGCACGCCGGGGGTTTTGGTCTTGAGCTTCACTTCAAACTCCTTTCCTTCGTAGTACAAGTCGCCCAATGTAGACAGGGTCGGCTTCGTCTGGTATCGGAAGAAGGCGTCCTGGAGCACTTGGTAGTCAATGTCGATTCGCCCGAGCTTGGGTGCCATGCGGTCACGCATCTTGGACGCGCCTTTCTTGGTCGAGTCCGCTTCGACGCCGGCGCCGCGCACTTCGGCAATTCCCGTGTTCGCGATAAAGTCCGGCAGAACGAACGGAATCTTCTCGATGCCGCGCTTCCCCTGCAGGTACTTTCGCTTGTGGCACCAGTGCCGCGGCACCGGCACCGTGTTTCGATACGCCTTCAAGTAACAGAGAAAAGGCGGGTCCGCTGACGTGATATCGTGCGCTTCCACGACGTCAGGACACACGACCATCTGCTTCAGAGTCGCAATGCTGAGCTGCTTGGCCTTCTTGCGCTCCTTTCGACCTAGTTGCTTGACAGGCTCGATCTCCTCCTCTACAGTGATTTCTTCCACTCCTTCGTTCTCGTTGTTTTCGTCCCCTTCGCCGGCTGGAACGACCTGTCCGCACAGTTCCTCCGCCTTCATGAATCGTTGAAACACGCGGGAAAACTCGTCGAACGCTGGATCGTCCTCGGACAACCCAAGGTCGCTGCTTACGTACTCCACGTCCACGACGATCGGTTGCTCGGCTTTGCTAGGCGACGATGGAATGGTGTCAACTGCATTGTCGGTTGATGACGGTGGTGCAGAAGTAGACTCTTCCGTGGCATAGATGTACTCTAGTTGCTTCTCTGCCTTCTTCTTAAGCCGCCGCTTGGCATTCTTGGACATCGTCGGCGCGGCGGCAACTGCGCTCGCCATCCCTGCTTTGTGTGGTGCAAGGTTCGATTCAAATATCAGAGGGGTTTAGATTTCGAAGAACCTTCCATAATTTATATATATTGCCGGATACTAGTATTTAGCATCCGGCATCACAAGATTAGGGTAATTTGTGAAGACTCGTTTTTTGGATATAACGTATTCTTCAGCGGGGTTAAACTTCCTTTACAATAAAAACCATGGACTCCAACTAAGAATACAATCTTCGACGAAAGCATGAACATACTGCAGACGCAACATCTCGCATCCGACATCGTGCGGCTGCTGTCAACTGCAGGTACGTGAGATGACCATCGAAGCATAAACTGATGCAGCATGGCCATTCAGAGGGTCGAACCAAGGCGTACCGCCTTCTGCAGTATGCTTCCAAAGCCCTCCAACTGGTGCTGCGTCGCGTGTTTCACGTCAACTCTGACTCTAGCGAGAGCATCCGCGTACTCAAAGTGCTGGAATATCTCATGGGCACTTGCCGCAAGGCCATGCGACTCTTTCGATTTCTGGACATGTGGACGCTCTTCCCAACTGTCGTAGACAAGAACCCGTCGGTCCGCCGCCTTCGGCAAACTCGCATCCTCGCGTTTCTGTGCATGTTCCTCTTTGAGAACATCTCGCTCTTCTATCCCACCACAGATGTGACAGTTGACGATGGACAAGGCAAACGAAGGACGCTCGTTACAGTGCGTTGGAGTCGGTGGTGCCATACGTGTTGGTTCGTATCGCTGGTGCTAGGCGTCGGCCTCGATCTCCACCTCCATCGCCCCACCTCGAGACTCGCCATGCTCAAAAACCTCACGGACTTGCCCATTGCGCTTCTCTTGGCCCTCCGTATCCGCGTTGATGACGCGCTGATGTGCGGCTTGAGTCTCTCCAGTTCTGTCATGGGCATGCAACTCCACTGGACCGGGCGGGCGTTGCACAGCAACGTCAAGCCGTTCGAAAGCGTAGAGTAAGGAGGCAGGTGTGGTATTTAATCTGAGTCAAGGGGTTTATTCTTTTGCACTAGTACAAGTCAAAAGGACCACCGACATAGGTGTCGACTTGGGTGTGGATAATCATCGCAGCATTGGTGACGGGGATGGGGGATTAGACGGGGGGTAACCCCATAGCCTCCCGTAGTTCCATGATTTGCTTCCGCTGCTCAAATGGCAGGCCTTGGATTACTTCCGGGGCGAGATTCTGCAGCTCTTCCAGCAGCTTCTGATGTTCTGGGTCAAGGTTCAACCCTTTCGTTGACTGCTCTGGCCGCACAGTCGACGGCGTGTCGTCTTGGTTCATGTTGAGGCGAAGTTGGACCTGAGCCAATGCCCGAGCAAACTCGACGTGTTCGTTGAGCATCTGCGCGGCTTCTTCGGGTTTGACTTCACAAAAGGTCTTCATGTGATACATCAACTCGTACACATCTGCCTCGCTCATGTCTTCCACAGCTTGAGCAAACACTGGCACCGCCGCCGATTCCGGCTGCGATGTCTCCATAGTAAGTTGTATAACCACTCGGTAAAGTGTCCATAGTTATCCGTATCCGGTTAACGAAGTAGTACTAGTACTATTATTAATAATATTAATAACGTTATCTTCAACGTGGTGGTAGTGATACTAGTAGTAGGCCCCTTTCGCAAGTTCAGGAGTACTGTATATTCGTTGGGTAAGTACAAAACGGATCTCTATTCGTAATCTGTAAGTACAAGTTATCCAACCTATCAGATAATTCGCATGGAGGTCTTCGAAGCACACTCTGCCTTGGCTATATTGCAGCAACATAAATCCATGTTTAATTGAGTTTTGGATTAACGCTATCAATAGAGAGGTTTAGCAACTTTTCCAGACCGCATCCATTCCGCACATTTTTGACAACAACCGCGTTATCGATACGGTCTGGAATATAAAATATTTGGTTTACATGTTAGCACAATTCCAGTCACCATCCATACATATATTCATCCGGGGAGATGCAGGAAATGAACGAAAACTCGCGATTATCTCGCATGTTGACTAAGTCTGTCCTTCATGCAACATGCTAACGTTACTTCAAAATGTTAACTTCGTGAAAACACGAGGATGTTGGGATGCAAGTACAGCGGTGGTGTGTACCAGTTTGCCAGAACTCCGACACCTTGTATTAGAACGGTATTTTATCAGAGTCTCAATGGATGTTGTATTATATCAACTTTCTATATAGAAATTTGTTCAATTGTTTTATATGGTTTTGAACGTTACATGTGGAAATGCATGATCTTTTTAAAATTGACATGTATGGGTAACTTTGCAAATACGACACTTTCATCCGACATTGCTGTGATTGGTCAAAATGTAAGTACCGGTAAGTACTTACATCTCGAGTGCTTTGAATCGAAACAGCACTGGAGTGACTTCATCACGGTCCTCTTCGACGATTCTCGCACTTTGGTGCTAGTTTTGTAAACTTACACACGAAAGTCTAGAGCTAGAACTAGACTGGATATGGAGTGCCGAACCACTCACGCCAGAGTGGCAATTTTCGTACACATGCGTGCCTTCACTTCCACTGTACCAGGTATATAAATCCACACTTCCAGTCACACGCAAGACAGAACATTAAGGCGCTTGCCAATTTCCGGACATCCTAGTCCTTACAATGCGGCGAGCTTCAAGTCTCTCAAAAGCCACGCCGAGTCTCAGTCGCGGCAGCGGGTCCTTGTTCCCACCGATAGCGCAGTTCAAGGACGCGGTTGGTCCCGTCGCTGGAGATTCACAACGCGTTTACTACCGCCAACACATCGGCATGCCACGTCTGGAGGGTGTTCGTGTGGACGTTCTGGTGTGACAATAGCCCAATAGCCCAATTTCCTGTCACGCCACACTAATTTTGTCGGGCAGAGCACGATGGTCGACCACATTGGCCCAAGTGTCCGTCCAGGTACGGCCGCACTATCATATTCGGTGAGTATCCGACGAAAGGTTAATCGAGCACGAGCAAA